TTTCACTGAGAGCCAGACTTTTGAATGGATACTGTTTTGGAAAGTGTCAAAATCTGGCTTTTATTTCTTGCCACTTTCACAGAGAGCCCGTGGGGCTCACATTTGAAATCTGGTTGAATTTCTCTGCCTGTAACTCTTTTTGTGAACTGCTACTAATATGTATTTTAGAAAACACTAAATAAAATGTAGATTAGTGCTCTGCCTGACAGACATTTCTTGAGGAAGGAGCATGCAGGGAAGCTTGCTGGATCTGGATCTCTCTAAGGATTTCACCCAACACATCATTGCAGAGCTCACCTAGACATGTCTGTGGCTGAGATCTGTAGGAAGCTCCCCAAAAATCAGTGCAGTTGTAGAAAACCTGGATGAACAAGACTGCCTAAATAGTGGAAACCACTTAAATGCATTTGCTTATGTATGTTTCAGGCATTTATGAAGAGAGGATTCATCTTTCCAGTGAAAACCATTCTAACCACTAATGATTTACTGCAGTTGAACTTGTTTCTAATCTCTGAGTTTGAACAAACTATGATGTATTGCTATTTAAATAAGTTCAAGAAATAAATTTAAGATATTATCTATATGATTTCGTACAGCCCCTACAATGAAATATTCCTAGATAGAAGGTTTGATGTAAGGAAGGTGGATGTATGAGCCTTGCATGCATCCACCCTCCAGGCTGGCTTTTTTTTCCAGGTATTAAAAAATTAAGCTTGTTCCTCTGAAAGTACCCATTATTATAATATTATTTTATTGTATTATTATACCTGGAGGCCAACTCAAATCCTAGTGATCAAGTCCAACTGTTAACCCAGCCCTGCCAAGTCCACCACTAAACCATGTCCTGAAGCACCACATCTATAAGTCTTAACCAGCAGGTTGAGGGAGGTAATTTTTCCCCTCCACTCTCATGAGACCACTCCTCCCTGCAGTGCTATGTCCAGTTCTGGAGCCCTCAACACAGTAACAACATGGAGCTGTTGGAGAGGGTCCAGAGGAGGCCACAAAGATGATCCAAGGGCTGGAGCAGCTCTGCTCTGGAGACAGGCTGGGAGGGTTGAAGTTGTTCAGCCTGGAGAAGGCTCCAGGAGAGCTCAGAGCAACTTCCATTGCCTGCAGGAGCTCCAGGAAAGCTGGGGAGGGGCTTTCTACAAGGGCATCGAGTGACAGGAGAAGGAGGGAAAGATTACTTTCAAACCTAAAGAGGGGAAAATTTAGATTAGAAGAAGAAATTCTTTCCTGTGAGGGTGCTGAGACACTGGCACAGGATGCCCAGGGAAGCTGTGGTTGCCACATCCCTGGCAGTGTTGAAGGGCAGGCTGGATGGGGCTTGGAGCAGCCTGGGCTGGTGAGAGGTGTCCCTGCCCATGCAGGGGGGTCAGGACTTGCTTACCTTTACCCTTCCAACCCAAACCATCCTGCGATGCTTTGATTTTTTGATGCCTCACCATCCAGGGTCCCAACA